TGATTTTTATTTTATATATATATACAGGGTGCGTCCAAAATCCGGACAAATTTTAATTTTAATTTTTCTCTATATTGTGCCTCCGCCAGAAATTGTTGGTCTCCGAGAAAACCTGATGTTTCTAATAAACAATCATATTCTTAAAATGGCTACTATGTTGAAACGAAGTGCATAATCGAAAAGCCGCGATTATCGAAGGCCTTCGCGCTGAACGATCAGCAACAGAAATAATTCGGTTCTTTGGATATCAAGATCAATGTTTATTTATGTTTATAACGTTGTGACAAAATATACGGCTTTAGAACAGTCCAACGAAAGTTCCAGTATACCATCGAGGAAGAGTCACTCAAAAGAACGTACCATGAAAACCCCCGCAGTCGTTGAAAGAGCTCAAGCGTTGATTTCGGATGGGATCGTAGGGCAGTCGTTGCGAAAATTAGCATCGATTGTTGGTATAAGCGACTCAATAATGCATCGAATTGCTGAGGAGGACCTTCGATACAAATCGTACACATTAAAGATACGACAGATACTCTCTGCCAGGACAAGTCGAAAAGTTGCTCGCCTCGGCTCCCATTCTGGCTCTCAACAGCTCAGATTTAAATCTTTTGGACTACTATGGAGTGTAGTTGAAAGGATCACAAACAAGTCTCAGCATCCCAATATAATTAAGGACCGCTCTTGAGCATTCGTCGGCATAGACAGCGCTACATTACAGCGTGCGTGCGAACGCTTCAGACCAAGAATAGAGGCCGTCATTCAAGCTAATGGAGGATATATCAAATAATTGTACTTTACAGGGATCTCCCAAGTGCCATGTAAAAGGATTTTTTGTAATATTTAATTTTTCATTAAAAACATTTTGTTTAAAAAAATTGTTCAATTTGTCCGGATTTTGGTGACGCACCCTATACATATAAATACACACGCACGCACGCACGCATGGTGTTTTCCAATCGCAATATCCCTAGACATTTTCTTGCACACGGTGACATAAGTTGCGTTCCAATTGCTCGTTATTGTCGACACTACACATTTGTACTCAGCTGAGGACCACTGTCAGCTGTGTTAGCTTGTGTTTTCTAGTGACAATTAGATATTACTAACGATGACGGCTATAAATGAGGTTGGAGGATGCTGAGTGATTGGCACATTTACTTTTTTTGTTTTATTTAATATAGGCTACATTTAATCTAACTCTATCTGAAACAAAACAAAACCGTACACAATGTACACATTCTGTTCTCATTGAATCGTGCATAATGCTATACTTTTTGCATTTCTGTGTACGTTTGTGTTAAGAGAGCATATACACCTAGAAGTGATTAAAAAATCAATTTTTTTACATATTTTTAAAGTATAATATCTTAAGAACGTTTTTGTAGAATTATAAATCAATCCGGCGGAAAATAGAATAGTTACACGAATTATAGATGGGTAGATTTAAGCGCGTTGAAGACGACAGGTAGATAGATAGTTCAAGTTCGCACAGAGGGTCAAAGAGGGGTCTTCCTCTATTCATTGTATTTATCAATAACAAGCCTCAGAGCATTTAAAAATATGGTTGGTTGAGTAACAAAAAAGTCTTGTCCAGATGCAATTGAAAAGGTTGAAACGTTGGCAAGGAAAAGTATAAACTGAATGTAAAACTACAAACGCATTTTTCTCGAAACGTAATTTTCATCACTTTTTTCATTTTTTGTGAAAAATCATTATGTTAAATTGATCAACTGCCATTTTATTCAAACACATTTGAAAAAACGATTACGTCAAGCACAACATCTACGATTCAATTTTTTAAAACTTGTGTCATTTTGCTTTCAGACGAGTTTTGTGCGAGCAGCAATGGTCATCACGAACTCCCATTTTATACAATATAACGTACGAAAATTTAAATAGCAATTTCATTTTATATTATTTTTTAATAAAATTTTAATGGTAAATAGAAAAAAGTATAATCTTTACAATGGAATAAACTCGACTTCTCTATCTCCGTTTATCCACAAAACATTCACAAAATTAATTCGTTTTCATCTATCTAGGTGTATATGCCCCCTTAAGATGTGTTAAACAATTGAAAAGCCCATAGACTGTTGCAAATAACGTTTTCTCTCCATACGTATTATATATAACATTAATAGAAAATCTATTATATTAACTTTTGTACACATAAAAGAATAGATAATTAAATCCCTTATATTCTTCAACAAAAAATGACTTTTTTCGAGTACAAGTACGAAAGTAATCATTTCCTATTTATAATTTTTTTTTGCATTAAACATATAATAGTGCAAAATTGGCACCATTTTGAAAAATCCGATATTTTATACACAGTTCTGTTTCACCCACAATAATTTCATGATTCTTGCTAGGTTTTAACAATAGTTCCGCTGATTTAACTAAAGAAAAAATTTTTTTAATGGAATGTCGACTTCGCATGAAATCTCAAGTATCGCAAAAATTAATTTTTATCAAAAAATTCTACAATTCTCAAAAAGTTCCATAGTTCCTAAGTTTTAACAATAGTTCTGATCTTTAAACACTTTTTATTATTTAATCTGACTGTTGGCCAAGTTTAAAAAAAAACTATTTTTGTCACGAAATTCTCTTGTTCTACAGTCCCAGATAGGTTTTAGCAACACTTCCTCTAAATATTTTTAAATAATTTTTTAATGTGAGCGCTGACACTACTACAAGAGTAAAGTATCAAACAACCAGTGATCATCGACTTTTTGCTATTTTCCTATAGTTATACAATAATTCCAACGCTTTCAATAGGTCTTACTCGTAGTTCTTGTCCTTATTAAATAATTTTTTAATCTAATTATTGGCAACACATTTTTAATAAGTATTCCTTATATATAAGTATTCGGTACCGATAGTTACCTATCAATAGTAGGTTCCTACTATTTTATGGTAATTGTTGATAATTCTCGCATAGTAGCGACTGTTTTAAAAATAGGAACTCTGATAAAAACCTATAGAAAAAGTAGGAATATTGCATAAATCAGCTGGAACTGATTATTACGTGGTACTTTACTCTTGTGATGCAGTGACAGCAGCGTTCTAATTAGAAAATTGTTTTAAAATACTTAAAAACAAGATTAAATACAATAATTTAATGAATCAATTAATAAAGGTTCTTGTATTTAATAATAAATCATAAAAACATATATATAACTATGGGTATTACGAATCTAATATTTTTCTATATAATGTATTATAGGACCGTATATGTATGTGATAACACAAACTATAAAAATCAAAGCCTTAAAGGTCTAGTTAGATCTTAAATGCTTGTATGATTCTTGTGTGAATAATATTTTTCGCTTTATTAATATAACTCCCGGCCGACATAATATTTTTCGCAATAAGAATTAATTATTTACAGATTTTAATATGTTATTCAACATTATTAAAATCGTTTCGAAGATGCGAATAAGCATTAAAATTTGTTAAATTGTTAGCCAATTTAACTCGTGATATTACTGCGATAGTTTAGTAGAGTTAGCGTTTTCCAGTCCGAAAAATCATTTTGATGCGCGTTTTTGGCGACTACATACGTAGTATATAAATTCACACAAAAATCATACAAGCAGATACAGCTAGACTGTTAAGGCTTTGATTTCTATAGTTTGTGTTATCATACATATACGGTCTTATAATATATTATATTGTTTGTTAATATAAGTTTTGAGCAATCGATTTTCAACGCTGACTCCTAATGGCCATAGATGGTCATAGATGGGTATATATATTTTTATACGATTTATTATTAAAGGCAAGATTTCAGAATAAAACCTTCAGAAAATATTGGAATTATTGCAGAACTATCAGAAAATGACAAAAGTTGGCTGGAACTGCCTCTTACGTGATACTTTGCTCTAGTAGTGGAATCCCAGCGCTCATATTGAAAAATTATTTAAAAATACTTACTAGTCGGAAAAATCTGTCGCTAAAATCTATCTAGGTTTGTAAAATTCTTCCAGAACAAGAGAATTTTGAAACAAAAATTAATTTTTTTGAAACTTGGATTGCCAACTGTCAAATTAAATATTTATTTAAAAATGTTTAAAGACTATTGTTAAATTATCAGGAACTATAGAACTCTCTGAGAACTGTAGAATCATGACAAAAATTAATTTTTACTTCCATTCTTAGGATGCCACGCGAAGTTGGCACCCCATTTAAAAAATTTTTTTAACTAAATCAGCAGAAAAATTGTTATTAAAACTTAGTAGGAACCGCAGAATTATTGTGGATGCAAACTGTGTATAAAATATCAGATTTTTCAAAATGGAGTACCTTGTTCACATCGGCGTTGAATATGGTTCCATTTAACTCACAATGGACCTGGTTCACTTGGCATCACTCATGCCTTCAAGCGTTTAGGGTTATCGTAGTAGATCCATTTTTCATCGCCAGTTACGATACGATGTAGAAAACCCTTCCTTTGTTGTCATTGACGAAGCATCTCGTAGATGACCAAACGTCTTTCCATGTTTCTCTCTTTCAATCTGCATGGCACCCAATTTCCTTTTTTTTGCACCATTCCCATTGCGTGTAGACGTTTTCCAACAGTGGATCTATCAACATTTAACTCTTTTGCCAACCTATCGCGATAAACACGAATCTTCTTCGAGTAATGCTTGCAATTCTGCATCTTCAAATTTTTTCGGTGCACCTTCGCGTTCTTTGTCACGCACGTCAAAATCATCACTGTTGAATCGCCGAAATCATTCTTTACAACTAGTTTTCGATGGAGCATGCTTACCGTAAATATCTACGAGCAAACGATGCGTTTCCGCAGCACTTTTCTTTAAAATAAAATAATGGAGTAAAACTTCCCGCAAATGTT